ATGAGGTTTGAGCACTTGTGAATGGAAACAGAGTGGCAGAGGTTATATAGGTTGTTTAGGAATGGATGTGCATAGTGCCCAAGTTAATCAAGTAGGGTCAAGTGCAAAAAGAAGTCAGAGAAAGGGAATTTGTAGATATATCAGGTAGCAGAAGAGGAAGATAGTGATGAATATGACTTAATCCCTCAAATTCTTCCTCCATCTGAATTGGAGTGCTGAGAAATGAAGGATAGTGACTATGGAATTTTTCTGATAATGATCGCATGTATGAGCTAATGTTGCAAAGATCTAGAGTTTTGCTGGTATACTGAAGTAGTAAATAAATGCAAATGGCTGAGGTAGTTGATGACCTACAAAGCCTGAAGCTCCTCTGATGAGCTAAAAGTATTGATAGCTTATCTGATGAAAGAGGTACTCCTAATAGGAGGCAATACCCTATTTAATGTTTGACTCTGATATGCACAATCTTAATTCAAACTTGGTATGGAGTTCAAGAGGTCATGATGATGTTTAGGGATGCATGAGAAGTATGAAATAAAGTGGGGCAAATCATTAAACATTTACCATGAATGACAAACAAAAGGTGAGGGCAGAATGCAAAAGTTGGGTTTCTTGGGTTTGTTATGCTTCATATTATAAAAAACATGATGGGTTTTGTATAGGAGCATCAAAACACTTGTTGATGAAGCACCTTGTAATAGAGTTTTTGATGTGCGCACATGTGTATTCTCAAATGATGTCAAGAGTTACTTTGAAAGAATTAGGTTAAATCCTACATGGCTAATTAGTCATTTAGCAGACATTTTCAAGTAAGCACAAATGTGAATGTTGACTTACAAAAAGTTGGAGAAAGGTAAGAAACTAGCTGTTGACAAAAATAAAGGGTACTGCCAACTGAGCAGTTTGGCAATGTGTGGAGTTACATTGAGGAGATAGGAATACCATCCTGAGACAACAATCTGCAGAAGGTGAAAACAGATTCCAAAGGTTATATGAGCGAGTAATCCAAGGTGTTAGTGATGGAAGCAATGCAGGTTAAAGTTCAAAATGTTGTTACTTGTGCTGGGGTCCTTGGAAGAAACACTTTATGAATGCTTGCAGGCATCATTAGGAATTGATAAATGCCATTTGAAGGGTCAATGGTGGTATTCTCTTGACTGTTGATTGGGATAGATGCAGACCAAACAATTACATATTTCCATTTCCTATAAAAATTGTTAAGAAAGAAAAGAAGAAAACATGGTTGTGGTTTCTAGAGCTGCTAGGACATGATCTGACATTGTAACTCTCATTGTTATACCTTCATGAGTGATAAACAAAGGTTTGATTGAAGCCAGTGGCTGAGTTGTTCCCAATGCTTCACACAAGTTTTGTGTGAGGCATTTGTTACAACTTTTAAGGGTGAACACAAGGGGTGGTTCTAAAAGATCTATTGTGGAAGGCTATAAGGGCAACAACTGTTCTTACATTTACCAGAGTGATGGCAAAGATTAAAGAAGTTGTTGTAAGGCATATGATTTGTTAGTTGAAAGACCACCATTTCATTGGAGTAGGAGCCACTTCAACACTTTTCCAAAGTGTGACCTTTTGCTAAACAATCTATGTGAGTGCTTCATTCAAGCATCTTGGAAGCTAGGAGTAAACTGTGGTTACAGTGTTAGAGAAATTAAGTTGTTGTTGATGAAAACAATTCAAAAAAGAAGAGATGTAATGCAATGACACAATGTCCTATATGTCTTAAGATTCAAATCATTTGGGAGAAAATAAACTGGGCGCAGTTGATGGATTCTAGATGGAATGGCAATAAGCAATTTGAGGTTGTAGGGTCATATGGTGAGCATACAAGCTAGACTTGCAGCTGGACTTGTGGCTGCAGGAAGTGGATCTGTCAGGCATTCCATGTGCAATGTTGTGGTTGCTACAAATTTCTTGGACAAGACCAGAAAAATATGTTCATCAATACTACAAGGTAGAGACTTATCTGAAGATCTTATGGCAATATGTTAAGTCCTATTAATGGTAGAGAAATGTGGCTAAGAACTGAGTATGCAAGGTGCTGCTATCTATGTGAAGAAGAGCTGAAAGGCCTAAACAAAATAAAAGAAAGGAGAGTGAGGCACCAATTCAAGGCACAAACTAGGAAGGCAGGGCACTTAAAATTACTTGTGATAATTGTGGGAAGGTGGGACACAACAGAAGAAGTTGCAAGGTCAAGGACAGATTCAGCTACATGCAAGAAGCCAACCTTAGAGGAGCAAACTGAACCAAGCCAAACGTTAGAGGAGCCAAACTGAACCAAGCAAACCCGGAGTTAATTAACTACAGAAGCACCTAGGTTAAGAGACACATGAAGAAGAAGAAACTAAAAGAAAACTAGCTGTCAGTGTTCTTCTTCTTCTTTTTTTTAAAAAAAAATAAATAATAGTAACTTAACTGTCCTATATTTGATTTGTGTTAATTGTGGATAATTCAATCTTATTACAGGTTAAAAGGAAAGTGGTACAAGAAAGTCAGTCAACTCCATCTCCATAGAGTTCAACTAGCACACAAGAGGGGTCAAATGATTGGAGAGCCCAGCTAGTTACAATGCTAGTGTAAGCGATCCTAATTTTGCAGTTTGCTAAGTATGTCGAGGATCGAGCTGCCGTTAGCTTGCGGGTCTAGGGGGCAATGCCTCCTAAAGCAAAAATCAAAATGCATTAGAAGTTGCTTGTCGCTCGAGCGGCGTTTATGCGCTTGAGCGGATAATGTTGGTTTCAGAAGTTTGACTTGTCTGCAAAATACAGGAAAAGTGTATTGATGCTCGAGTAGGTCTTTTCACGCTCAAGCGGACCATGTATACTCATGTTCGTGAATCTGATATTTCAGATCACTTTTTGTATATCTCTCTCTCTCTAAAAAACCTTTCTCTCATTTCTCTCTACATTTCCCTACGCCAAATTGGATCAAAACTTGATTCTCAAGATCCATTAGAGTTCTGCCATAGGTTCTTCATCAAAGTTGGTTAACTTCTCGAGGCTTCGTTGTGTGCGGTGAAGATCGAGTTTCGACACCGTTGATTTTGGGGTTTCATCTCATTTCTTCTTCAAAACTTGAGTAGGCATTTTTAGAGTTATATATTATTATATATATATAATATTTTTGCAAGATCTATATGATTTTCGAAATCATCTTCGATAGCTTTGAAAATTGATTGTTGATTCAAGAAGTTGAACGATTTTGAAAGTGGGTTTGTCTCTTGTTCTTTTAAAATGATCTTATGGGTTTGATCTTCGTTGATTGAACAAAGATGATTTGGAAGTTTCTTTCAAAGATTTGAAGTTGTATAATTTTGGTGAGAATACCTAGAATTTGGGGATTTTTTTTAAAAGAGACTGAAAATCCATGAATAAATATTGTTATATTTATTTGTGTGTCAAAATAATTGATGTTTGGAAATTTCTTATTTATATTTATATAAATATGAGAATTTTAGGGAATATGAGAATTGTTGTTCATTTTGGAATATTGTTCAAAACGTCAAAATAGTCTTGAAAGACTAATTGTTGAGGATACTGAAGAAGCAGGAATTGGTGTTATTCCACCTGGATGATGAATTGGAATAAAAAGTATTTATATTCACTGCGTCTCCCTTAAGGTAGTAACTCGCTAGAGTCACTCTTAGTTCACTATCTTCGTTGTGAAGCATTTCAAATGTCTTCACAATTTGTTCGAGCCACTCATTCGCTTTCTTGGGCTCGGGACCACCATGGAACTCATTCAGTTTGGCTTGCAAGAACTCTCTAGTAAGGAAACTCGCCCTTGACTCCGCGGTGTTCTCTCGGGCTTGATTCTCCACCCTCAACAAGTTCATGGACTCCCTTAAAGCCCCTGCCATTTCTTGAGCTAGGGCCCCCATTGTGGTTTGACCGGCTTGTCCCACTTGCTTGGCTACATTGAATCAACAATCAATTTTTAAAACTATCGAAAGATGATTTCGAAAATCATATAGATCTTGCAAAAATATATATATATATATATATATATATAACTCTAAAAAAATCCCTACCTCAAGTTTTGAAGAAGAAATGAGATGAAACCCCCAAAATCAACGGTGTCGAAACTCGATCTTCACCGCACACAACGAAGCCCTCGAGAAGTTAACCAACTTTGATGAAGAACCTATGGCAGAACTCTAATGGATCTTGAGAAATCAAGGTTTTGATCCAATTTGGCGTAGGGAAATGTAGAGAGAAATGAGAGGAAAGGTTTTTTAGAGAGAGAGAGATATACAAAAGTGATCTGAAATATCAGATTCACGAACTGATATAACATGGTCCGCTTGAGCGTGAAAAGACCTACTCGAGCATCAAATACACTTTTCCTGTACTTTTGCAGACAAGTCAAACTTCTGAAACCAAACATTATCCGCTCAAGCGCATAAACGGCCGCTCGAGCGGACAAGCAACTTCTAATGCATTTTGCATTTTTGCTTTAGGAGGCATTGCCCCCTAGACCCCCGCAAGCTAACCGGGCAGCTCGATCCTCGACATACTTAGCAAACTGGCAAAATTAGGATCGCTACACTAGCATTGTACACTAGCTTGCCTCTCCACATCATTTGACCCTCCTTTGGTGTGCTAGTTGAACTCATTGGAGATGGAGTTGACTGACTTTCTTGTACCACTTTCCTTTTAACCTGTAATAAGATTGAATTATCCACAATTAACACAATCAAATATAGGACAGTTAAGTTACTATTATTTTATTTTTTTTTTAAAAAAAAAGAAGAAGGAAGAACACTGACAGCTAGTTTCTTCTATCTCATGTGTCTCTTAACCTCAGGTGCTTCTGTAGTTAATTAACTCCGAGGTTGGCTTGGTTCAGTTTGGCTCCTCTAACGTTGGCTTGGTTCAGTTTGGCTCCTCTAAGGTTGGCTTTCTTGCATGTAGCTGAATCTGTCCTTGACCTTGCAACTTCTTCTGTTGTGTCCCACCTTCCCACAATTATCACAAGTAATTTTAGTGCCCCTGCCTTCCTAGCTTTGTGCCTTGAATTGGTGCCTCACTCTCCTTTCTTTTATTTTGTTTAGGCCTTTCAGCTCTCTTCTTCACATCAGATAGCAGCACCTTTGCATACTCAGTTCTTAGCCACATTTCTCTACCATTAATAGGACTTAACATATTGCCATAGATCTTCAGATAAGTCTCTACCTTGTAGTATTGATGAACATATTTTTCTGGTTCTTGTCCCAAGAAATTTGTAGCAACCACAACATTGGCACATGGAATGCCTGACAGATCCCACTTCCTGCAGCCACAAGTCCAAGCTTGCAAGTCTAGCTTGTATTGCTCACCATATGACCCTACAACCTCAAATTGCTTATTGCCATTCCATCTAGGAATCCATCTAACTGCGCCCAGTTTCATTTTCTCCAAATGATTTTGAATCTTAGGACATATAGGAACATTGTGTCATTGCATTACATCTCTTCTTTTTTGAATTGTTTTCATCAACAACAACTTAATTTTCTCTAACATTGTAACCACAAGTTTACTCCTAGCTTCCAAGATGCTTGAATTGAAGCACTCACATAGATTGTTTAGCAAAAGGTCACACTTTGGAAAAGTGTTGAAGTGGCTCCTACTCCAATGAATTGGTGGTCTTTCAACTAACAAATCATATGCCTTACAATCAACTTCTTTAATCTTTGCCATCACTCTGGTAAATGTAAGAACAGTTGTTGCCCTTATAGCCTTCCACAATAGATCTTTTAGAACCAACCCCTTGTGTTCACCCTTAAAATTGTTGTACAAATGCCTCACACAAAACTTGTGTGAAGCATTTGGGAACAACTCAGCCACTGCTTCAATCAAACCCTTTTGTTTATCACTCATGAAGGTATAACAATGAGAGTTTACAATGTTCAGATCATGTCCTAGCAGCTCTAGAAACCACAACCATGTTTTCTTCTTTTCTTTCTTAACAATTTTATAGGCAAATGGAAATATGTAATTGTTTGCATCTATCCCAACAACAGTCAAGAGAATACCACCATGTGACCCCTTCAAATGGCATTTATCAATTCCTATGATTGGCCTGCAAGCATTCATAAAAGCTTTCTTCAATGGACCCCAGCACAAGTACAACATTTTGAACTTTAACTCTGCATTGCTTCCATCACTAACACCCTTGGATTACTCGCTTCATTAACCTTTGGAATCTGTTTCACCTTCATGCAGATTGTTGTCTCAGGATTGGTATTCCTAATCTCCTCAATGTAACTCCACAACATTGCAAACTGCTCAGTTGCAGTACCCTTTATTTTTGTCAACAGCTTGTTTCTTACCTTTCTCACTTTTTGTAAGTCAACATTCACATTGTGCTTACTTGAAATAATGTCTGCTAATGACTGAATTAGCCATGTAGGATTTAACCTAATTCTTTCAAAGTAACTCTTGACAATCCATTTGGAACTCACATGTGCCACATCAAAAGACCTATTACAAGTGTGCTCATCAACAAGTGTTTTGATCCTATACAACCCATCATGTTTTATATATGAAGCATAACAAACCCAAGGAAACCCAACTTTGCATTCTGCCCTCACCTTTTGTTTGTCATTCTTGGTAAATGTTATATGTTTGCCCCACTTAATTTCATACTTCTTCATAGCATCCCTAAACATATCATGACTCTTGAACTCCATACCAAGTTTGAATTAAGGATTGTGCATATCAGAGTCAACATTAAAAATAGGGTATTGCCTCCTATTAGGAGTACCTCTTTCATCAGATAAGCTATCAATACTTTTTAGCTCATCAGAGGAGCTTCCAAGGCTTTGTAGGTCATCAACTACCTCAGCCATTGCATTCTTACTACTTCATATACCAGCAAACTCTAGATCTTTGTCAACATTAGCCTCATACAATGCATCATTATCAGAAAATCCATAGTCACTATCCTCATATTTCTCAGACTCATCAGATGAGGAAGAATTTGAGGGATTAAGGTCATAGTCATCACTATCTTCCTCTTCTGCTACCTGTATATCTACAAATACTCCCTTTCTCTGACTTCTTTTTGCACTTGACCCTACTTGATTAACTTGGGCACCTATAGCACCATCCATTCCTAAACAACCTATATAAACCTCTGCCACTCTGTTTCCATTCACAAGTGTCTCAAACCTCATTACATCTTGATTGGTGTTAATCAACTCCAACCCAGCACAATAATTAACCTTATAGTATAGTAATAGCTATTACATTTAGTGCAACATACTTCTTTGGCCATATTATCCAACTCCACAAGTGATATTTAATCGGAATTACAAAAGTCAAAATAACTGATAAATCCACCACTATAAAACCTCTAAGGATTATAACTAACTAAGTCCCCATGATGCATTTTGATTGTGAAACAACAAGATTCTTTCTCTGCATTTTTAAATGAAAAAATTTGCTATTATGGACTAATTATACTAATAAATAAATAAAAATAGTATTAAACTACTATTACCATAAGACAGTTCCAATTCAAGAAATCCATGTATGAATACATTAAAAAAAAAAAAAACTTTGTCTGTATTCTTGGTAAATTGATTTTTAATAAGCATTACATAAAAAATGAGTTTATTTTAAGGACTGATTAAACTAAAACTAATCAAGTATTACACTATTGATTAAACAAATCATTTTGAAGGACAAAAAAACAAAAATGTATTCTAAAAAATGCCAAATCAAAATAGTATTATATCATAAATCGATTTTTCATAATCATTAGCTTCAAAATTAAACAAATATTAAAAGTAAATACCATAACACAATTGGTCGATTCCTTCGCTTGCCATCATTCTCTCTTCGAACCCAACCCATGATTCAATGTTAGTTCGTGCCCTTCGTTCAATGATGAACTTTGATTTCGATTTCGAATAAGGAATTTTAAAACCCTAAAACCAATTTTGATCCCAACGAAGCCCTAGTTGAACTGTCTATCACACCAACTTATTTTGTGAGGAAACCCTCTTATATTCCCTTCAAAAGGTAGTTCAGGAGGTCAACTCATCACATTCCGTCCAATTGTAAACGAAAGGTGACGACAGGGGTCTAATTGATCAATTTTTGAAAAGTTCAGGTACTAAATTAAAATAAATAGATGTATGGGGGTCAATGTGAAAAACGCGTGATAGTTTGGGAGGGGGGAAATGATATTTCCTGTAATTATAATTTTAAGAGTAGCCATTCATTTTTGTAATTCTAATGTGATTCAAACATATAGTAATCGATATCTGATCATCTTAATTTTTTGTGTGAATATTTTACTTAGTGAATACTAAAAAGTGAATGATTTATATCACCAAGATTGGACCTAAAATGGGGCCATCAAATCCAAATAATCTCTCAAGTTGAGACAACTAACTTAAGAAAATTCAAACCCGAAAATGGATGAAAAGGGCAAAGAACACATTTAAAAAAAGCCATTTTGTTTTTTTTTTTTTTTTAGTTTTTAAAAACAATTTTTAAGTTTTAAGTTTTTATTTTTAATTTTTTTTTTGAGTGAATTTTTTAAATATTTTAAGTATATTTTATTTTATTTTTTTGATGCATCTAATCTAGATTTATTTAAAAAATGAAATATTTGAAAAAAAATATTTAAAATAATTTAATAAATACAAAAAAAATACAAAAATGTAAATTTTTGTATTTTTAGTATTGAGCATTTTTTATACAACTTTTGTACTTTTTAAATCTATCTAAATTAAGTGAATCTAAAGAGTAAAATAAATGATTAAAATATTTTTAAAAATTCACTAAAAATAAAAAAATACATATTAAAAACTGAAAAAATAAAAAAATTGAAAACCCCAACACCAAACAGATTGCTCTAGTCATACTATTAAGTTATGACATTTGTGGTATTGATTACCACAAATGTCATAATTACATCCCCTTCAATCATAGTTCAAAAAAATAAAATAAAAAATGAGTCAGAACCAAACATTATATAAGGTATAACTAAAGATATTTATAATGAAAATAATATCATAATTAATACCACAATGAGTTATAACTAACATCACAATCAATCATAACTAACATCACAATAAGTTATAATTAAATAATACATTAGTCCTAGTTGGGGCATGTATAAAATTTCCCAAACAAAAATAGAGAAACATGTGTGAGGAGTTGCAAAAAGAGAAAATTAGTCGAAGGTCCCTATTTCATTTTTAGTAATAGGAGAGGTCCACAATATTATTTTGTGATGTCTAAGGTCTCTCACCTACCCCCATATATCTCACTCACTCAAAATGAGTCCCACTGAACCCAAACACCTATTTTCTCATTCTTTTTCCTCTTCTCCTCTCTCTCTCTCTCTCATCTCTGCGTCTCTTTGCCAGATCCGTATCTTTGCACTCTTTCTAAGCCTTCTGTCGACCAAATCTTTATGTCCTTTAACAAATCTAAACCACATCGCACTACTGCTGATGTCCTTTAACAAATCTATACATACATGTATATATATTCACAATATATTTCAAGTTTTGATCTAAATGTTGATCATAACAATCTTTTTTTTTTCTTTGGATTTACTCAGGATAGTAAAGAACACGCTCTCTCTCTCTCTCTCTCTCTCTCTCATATGTGTAAAAATCTAGATTTTGTGTTTAATTGTCAGATTTATTGAATGTTAATTTTGGTTTTTAAGAATATAGAGAGAAAGCATGACATTTGGACTGAATCAGTGAAATTTTGAAGTTGTACATTTGCAAATTCTAATGCTATGCTTAACTTTGTTTTGTTCGAAAGATTTAAAGTTTGAATCTTAACATGCTTATAAAAATGCAAACCAGAGAAAATTCTCTGGCTTAAAATTGTGAACAAACACAAAGAAATTTGTGAACAAAGTTAGAGAAATTCTCTGTAAACAAAGCTAGAGAAATTTCAATTCTCTATGAATAAAGCCAGAGAAATTTGTGAATAAAGCTAGAGAAATTTCAATTTTCTTTGGATTTCTATGGTTTGAACTTAGAGAAATTTTAATTTTCTTCGGTTTGAATCCAGAGAAATTTTCTACACGTAATTTTTCTAGGTTGAAACAATTTTCTTTGGTTTAAATTTGTGAACAAATACAGAGAAATTTGTGAACAAAGCCAAAGAAATTTTCTGTGAACAAAGCCAACGAAATTTCAATTCTCTCTAAACAAAACTAGAGAAATTTTGAGCAAAGTCAAAAAAAAAATATTTTTCTCTTATTTGAATTTAGAGAAATTCTTTGCACATAATTTTTCTAAATTAAAATTTCTCTAAAAAAATATTGAGGGACTTTAGTCATTTTAAAAATATTACATATTTTTTATATTATAAAATCTTAATATTAAGAATTTTAAAAAAAATTGAAAAATGAGTCAGACCCCCTCTGTGGAGGACCTCACAACCCCTTACTGATCTACACCATTCATGATGTGTGGGGTTCACTCATATATGTATGAGGTTCACATCATGAATGATGTGGATCACAAAGGGAGTTGTGGGATTGCTGAAAAAAATTATGCTATAATGGCCAGAGAGAGGACGGATGTGATAAACAATGATGGGGTAATGTTAATAGTGGGATGGGAGTGTTCCCAGACGTTGCCAAGTGGTCGAAGGACCACCAAAAGATTGTCCAAGGTCACGTCAATGACCAACCAGTAACAGAGAGCAGAGAAATTGAAATCTTATTTTGAAAACGTGGATTGTTTAGGTGTTGTTTGGTAACACATATTTTTAATTTTAAATTTTATATTTATTAGGCAGTGTAATTACAAATATTTGAAACAGAGGATCTCATTCCCTAATTTAACTCGTGTCAATATGTTTCTTTAGTTTCAGTTATATCAAATTTACTTTTAATTTTCATATTGTGGCAAGTTTAGTCCAATTGGTATTGTTAAGCAATCAAATAGAAATCAATAGCAAAATAATCCATCAAAAAAGAAAAAGAAAGAATGAGATTTTGGGCCAAAAACCCACTTTATAGTGCTTGATATCGACTTGACTGCTCGAGCGAACAAAGCTTGCCTCAAGCGTAGAAAAAAAGCTTCTCGAATCTCCAAAATTCACACAGACTGCTCGAGCGCAACTTCCTGCGCTTGAGCGGACTTACTTTCTGCACAGATACTCGAAATTCAAACGAGTATAACTCCCTTGTCTGGTCCGTTTTAGGTCGTTCATGTGTCCAAATCGAAGCCCCAGAAACAAGATTTCCAATGGTTCTGGCCTCACATCCAAATTTGAAGTGTGGAAAAAAAAAAAGGGGGGGGGGGGGGGGGGGCGGCATTTTTGAAATAAAACTACCTTAGTTTTGAATTTTCCTAAATCAATTCTTTTTTATGTAATTCCTAAATATATTTGAGCTTCATTTTTCATCTCAACTCCTCACTCTCTACATTCCCAATCGGTAACAATGCCCTAGCCACCATCTCCATTCACTTCGTTGTTCGCTGCCAATTAAAGCAAGTTTTACTGCCTCTTCTCTCATATTTCATCCACCACCAGGTTTGCTTCCTCCTCTCTTGTATTGCCTTCACAACAAGGTGATTTTAATTTTTTTTTTTGTTTCCAAAAATTTTAACTTTAATTTTATTTTTACAAAAAACAAAATAATATAAAAATAAGTTTTCATCTTAAATTTTCAAAAAAGAAAAAGAAAAAAGAAAATAAGAAATAAAGACATTAATAAATACTCGTTAATAGTTCTTGTGTTAACTTATGCCCGAAGATGAGTAATTATCTTATGTTTCAGGAATTCCATGCTAACTATGTGTTTAACCAATAATAAAGGGCTATATGAATGTATAACTTCTTTTTTTTGGTTGACTGGAAACTTTTAAGGCCAAGTCCATTTAAGACCCGTCCCTATAAGTCAATCCGGGGAGAATGTTGAGGAACCCATCTCTCACCCCCCAATTTTAGTTAAGGGTTATAAGGAGGTTGATATAAGTTGTGGACCCGGAACCTTCGATCACGCAATCTGTTGCCTTACTAACTCATCCCAACTCTTGGGGACATGAACGCGTAGGCTTTGTTTGGTTTATGTTTTGAGATATTATTTTAAAAATAATTTTTTAGAGAGAGTTTAGAAAATTTAATTTTTTTTATTGTATATTTTGAAAATAATTTTAGAATTTAAGATGATTTGATATTTTTTTATAATTAAATAGATAGGTGTGAGAAAAAAAATGATTGAGAATGAGAGAAAAGAGAGAGAAAAAGCGATTGATTAATATAGTAGGAAAAAAGTAATTTTAAATTTTTTTTTCTAAAAATTTTCAACCAAACATGTTTTTATAATTTTTTTCTCCAAAAATATTAGAGTGACAAACCAGACGTGCCCGTTGTGTTTCTGACTTGTTAGAAATTTATGCCTTGAGACACATGTTAAGCATGATTATAAACATTGTACATTCTCCATGATACTCATTTTTATGCACAATGTACAATTTTTTAAAATTTCTTAACATGTAGCTCCCCAACTTTAAAAATATATAATTATTTTATGATTTAAAATTTAGGGTTGGTTTGGAGTGTCCTAAAAAATTGTATTTTTTGTCTTTTTACGAAAAGATGTGCAGAAAAATAGAGAAGTGATGTGATAGAAAAAAGATAAAATGATAAAAAGATGGATTATATAGGTTATGCCAAACCAACCCTTAATATTGAATACTTGCATATATGAAATATAAATTAAGATTGTTTCTAATAATTTCATAAAATAAATGGATGGTGTGTTTGGTAATTTTCAAATAATGATGGAATTTCCATAAAATTTTCAAATTTAGTAATAATAAATAAATATTTATACTTAATGAGATTATTTTGTAAAATGACTAACTAGTAACTTTTTGAAAATTAGAGAATCTATTTGCAAAACTTTTTTTTTGGAACTAAAATTTCCAAACTATATTTGAACTTAACAATAATGATATCAATTGATTTGATTATCCTTGGCTCTTGAAAATGAATGCCATGGTACAAAAATTTGTACCAATTTTTTGTTGGTGTTAAGTATTCATATGGGGTAAGATTCACATAAGATACAAAAAAGAATTCTACTAAATTTTACACAAAACAGTCACATTTATGTTTGAGATGATCTAAATAAATACACTTTTTAATTTTTTACAAAAAGATGTGCAGAAAAGTAAAGAGGTGATGTGACAAAAAAAATAAAAAGATAAATCTAACATTTGTTCAAAGTTAGACAGAAAATATCACAATAATTCTCACGTAACATAAAAAATATATTATTATATTAGAGTTTAAGTTTATTTTAGAGGTATAAGTCATATATAATAAAATATTTTTATATCACATAACTGTCAATGTGTCATTTTTATCTAATTTTTAATAAAAATTAACTTTGAGAGTAAAACAAAAGAAAAAATAAAATATGAAGAGCCAAGATGAAAAATAAATAAATAAACAAATAAACAAACTTAAAAAGTTAGAATAAAAAAATAATCAAATATAAATAAAGTAAAATATAATTTATCCGAGAAAATTTAGTAAAAATTTGGAACTGTCCAACATTTTTCATCAAAAATAGTTAAAAATTTGGAACTGTCCAACATTTTTCATCAAAAATAGTTAAAGCGGGCACGTGAAGTCGTCCCAATTTAACAGTATCCCGCCACCCAAAATATACTTAAAAAAAAAAAAAAAAAAAAGCAAGTGAAAGGCAACTCTACGTACTTGACAAATTTTGCAAAACCCTTGAGTTCGAACTCGCGACGGCGTTGACATCAGCTATAATCTAGCTACAACCCTGATTCAAAATTGACATTATGGAAGAGATCGTCAGGTTTATGGTAAGAATTAGGTGTTTGACTTTGTGAAAGATGATTGTACGATTTTGTACTTGATTAATAGATTCACGTTTTTCGAACCACTGTTCCCTCTATTTTCTTTTGTCTGCATATGTTTGATTTTCATCTTCATATGTTTGATTTTAATCTTCATCTATTTGGTTTTGTTTAATTTTAACAGAACTTTCACGAATGGATCACTGAGAGAAATTTCGACGAAATTTGGGAGACTCATGAGTGCAACATTATTGGACTTGGTAGTTTATTTATTGAAGTACTTAATAAAATAATTAGGCTGTTGATAGATATTCACGAACATGATGGTTTCAATGGTGATCTGTGGAATAATTTAAGGATTAGGCAGATTAGGCGCACAAATGCATCTGGATCTTGGGACCTATGGGGGTGAATTTGGCTGTGAACTCTCTTCCAAACCTTAGCCTAATAGGTGGGATTATTCTTGACGTTCAACACTTTAGACACATGGTACGTTTAGCTGAGATAATATTTCCTTTAGACGTTCCCCTTCCTCATGCTTATGACAGCTTTTTACAACATTATGGGTTTGATGAAGGCCAATATTTTCAAACAGTCCTTGCACGTGATCCTGCACGTGATCCTACTCCTTATGAAGTTAAGAAAATTGCATTTTTTAATTATTCTCATCCACTTTTTTTCAACAAAGTGGATAGAGTTCACTTTATTTATAAAGTGTACGAAATCCGAAAGAGAAATTCAAGAGAATTCAACCGTCTTGTCCGTTTAGATCAAAGCACCCCTCTTGCGAATATGGATGATTGGCTGAATAGAATCTTAACAAGTAATAATCAACAATATTGGCTTAATGATCAGTCGCCACTGCGGCAAGTTCTGTATTTCAAGAATGAACAAGGACAATCTGTTTTTCGAAGCTATTTTGCGGTGCCATGTGAAGTGGTAAATTACTTAAGGATTGTTTGTGAACATGGAAGGGACATCAATCGAAATATTTCCTCTGGAAAAATCGTCAAGGTGCTGCACCAAGTTCTCCCTGATGCCTTGTCCAAGATACATTTCGTCTTATTTATTACTTTTTTTGATAACATTTGTCTAAGAAATTTGAATGCTAATGACATTGTCAAACTAATGAAGCAAGGTCCTTTTGGCTACAAGGGGCTCAAACTCAGGTAAGTTTATTTATCGCTTCGTTAGTGATACTGTGACTTAAATTTTTATAGTTATTTAAGAGTAGTTGACAAGATCAAGTAGATAAAGAACGAGATGTGGCCCTCAAACTCAAAATTTTGAGTGTTGATAAAACATAATTTACATTTCTTGGGTTTTGATAAATGATGTAACCCATGTTAATCTGTTATGATTTTATTTGATTTGCCTGTTTCTATAATAAATTGGGGCTTTTTGTTTTTTTTTGTTGCATGGCCTCTATTACTTATTTAGACCATTTAGGTCTGTTATGTGTTTTTCATTGAAACAAACAAAACATTCCAAGTTTTATTAGAATATAATGGACGATTGCATTTTTTTAATTCATCATTGAGCCTATTGAATCAATATTGAGACTATATTGCATTGTGGTTTTCATAGTCAATCATCTTAAAAGTTATTTTCTTCATATAAATATTTAACATAATAGTATATTGTATCTTATTAAGTTTTTCTTTTAGTGGTTTTGCTTTTCCAGGTCTTGCCTCGTGACATTCCTGTGCCTTTTTGGGTGCGTATTGAGCCTTGTATATATTTTCTTGTTGGTAATAAAATCTCACTTGCCAAAAAAAAATCTTTTTATATATTTATTTATTTATTATTGGGTGAAAGAGATCAAATAAATAGATTAAAAAAGTACACAAGCATTGACTTCCATTGGATTTGAACTTCCTCGATCCAAAATCTCATCCCTTCTTCACTCTCTGCAAACCGAGCAAGTAGCGGAGCAACTTTATTACCTCATCACTGGACATGAGATACTTGAAAACGTCTTACTTGGTTTTGAATAATCTTATTGATGTTTCTAATTACAGAAAATTATCTCCCACAGCCTTGATACTATTAATCACTGTTAAGGAATCCCATTCAGCGTGAATACTTAAGAAACCCAAAGTCCTGATTGACAATGTTCACTTCACTAACAACTTTTATATGATTGACATCTAATTTGTTCCATATTCTCAGCACCAAGTCATCACACTACCTAGGGAGTTCCTCACAATAACACCTACTACTGCCATACTTTCTTTGAAATGAGTACCACCAAAATTTACCTGATAAACACCACTAGTATAAGTTTTGCAGTTCTCTCAGTGATCTTCTAATATTCCCTTAGCAAATTCAACACTATCATTAGCGGATTTTTGCCTCCCACTAAAACATGAATTGCTCCGAGCCAAGACAAAGAAGAAATCAAAGCTATGATTGCATTTCGCTTCACATACATTGCCCACAAGCAGAAATCACCTTTGTTATCAAATCCAGTCCAGTAATGTAAACCACGCAATTTCCAAATGTGCTTAGCAAGTAGACAGTGGACAGTTAGCATCATTCACCATTTTCTTGTGTTTCTGAAGTTCCCCAACTGGTGCAGTGCCAGCACCGGCCTTCCAAGCAAAAGCCTCAACTTTGTTAGGGATAATTAGGACTCCGTGTTGCCTTTCAAAAAAATTTCATGCATCCTGTGTTTGAAGTTGCTGGATACGAATTTCCAGCATTCAAGTCTGAATATTATGCAAAACGAACAGTGAACTCTGTTCTTTATGAGGTGCAAACTAATTTATTTGTCATTGGCTAGGTGAAACCAAAACATAGACAGTCGGACATGAACTGTAAAAAGAGCTCACTAATAGTCTTGCTTCCATGAACCAAAATCCTAGTCAATAAGATCAGTAAAGGAAGCATAGATATGGATACGAGATACAGATACGACACGATACGGATACAGCGATACGACAGAACCTAAAAAAATAGGATACGGATACGGTTAGGATACGTTTGTGAAAAATATATTTTTTAAAATTATTAATAGTGAGTTACACATAAGCTAAAGAATGTTGAGAAACCACAATGTAATTTTATAATGCAAAATATTATCCTTTAAGAATTTTGTATTAATTTAAGCTAATAGTTTGTTTACTTTTTAAATTTTTAATAGGTCTTGCAAATATTTCATTTCAGTATCAAGTTTACTATATTTATATTACAATAATAGAACAATTACAACTTGTCCCTATGCTTTTTCCTTTGACACTAGTGAAAAATATTGTATTCAAGTTTATTTACTTATTTATTTACTGATATTTAATTTTACCATTGTTATATTCTCTGGTTAATTCTTACTTTCTATGTAGTTATAGGGTACATGCATGAAATAATTAGGATACATCAATTTAATAAATTCTATTATTTAACTCACTATGCTCTTCTTATCGAAGAACTTAACAAAGTATTAGAAAAATATTCTTATATTTGTACTTGCAATTATATTATATTATATTACTATGCAAGAAATGTTATAATTCTAATTTCATAAAATAAGTAAGCATGACTTGGAGTATCCGATACTTCAAAATTTAGTATTTGATACTCCAAAATTAATGAAAAAATAATTAAGTAGTATCTGATACTTTTAATAATATCCGATACGTATCTGCGAGTATCCAAGGAGTATCGGTATCCGATACGGATACGATACGGATACATCACTATATTTGAAGTATCCATGCTTCATATCATATTCTCCATCCCAGAAATTTTCAGACTAATGACTTTGAAATAAGGGGATGGTCCCCCCAAACTGTTTCCTTGTTATAAAACAATATATTTTGGTAATGAAATCTCACTTTCTGAAAAATGGCTCGTGTGCATGTATGTGTTGCTTAACTTGAAACCACAAAAAAATTGAAAAAATCAAGTTTTTCCATGTTGAACCCCCTTGGAATTGGCTTTTTTATGTAACTCAATTGGATACGGATATGATACGGATACATCACTATATTTGAAGTATCCATGCTTCATATCATATTCTCCATCCCAGAAATTTTCAGACTAATGACTTTGAAATAAGGGGATGGTCCCCCCAAACTGTTTCCTTGTTATAAAACAATATATTTTGGTAATGAAATCTCACTTTCTGGAAAATGGCTCGTGTGCATGGATGTGTTGCTTAACTTGAAACCACAAAAAAATTGAAAAAATCAGGTTTTTCCATGTTGAACCCCCTTGGAATTGGCTTTTTTATGTAACTCAATTGGATACTAGAAGTCTGCCTTTCTGGACTTACTCAGCACAAAAACATTGACGACGTGATTACCAGCTCCATCCTTGTGCAAGGGATGGGGCCTTAACTCTGGAAACTACTCGTTGGTTGTGCCTAATATGTTAAAACTATTGAAGTTTCAACTTACATGATTTACTTGTTATTTGCACTGGGTATTATACGATTTTGACTTGGTTAGATCTGATAATTTTTAGAACTGATAAAATAAATAAATAAATAAAAAGACCAGGTAACTTTTAGTGCATAGTGACATCATGTCCTGATTCATTTTTTTTTACTGACAAATAGTTAATGGTGTTGCAGATTATGGCATGGAGTGCAGTGATTTCATGAGGTAATATGTTTCCTCAATTTTTGTAGCTGGCCAATGTCTGAATTCAATGTTCAGAGTGATTTGGAGTATCTCAATCCAGTTTGCACATGCTCTGTTATAAATTAGTTACACATGCTCTGTTATTGTCCCAAAAAATAAACATGATACTTTGAATAATCTATTGAAATGTCAATTGTCCCATAAAAAATTGACATCTAATTAAAACCCAAAATTTTGCATGTTGATGCACTATCCTCCCACAAGATTGAGGGTTCAATTCCACAGGGAGCATGTGTAACCTACCAATTGTGTTGGATGATTAAACTATTCAAAATTATTTACATTGTTCATGTTGTTCGAATCAAAGTGCTTTTGATGGAGAGTAGAAAGGCATTGGATATAGGAGACTTTTATATGATTGACATCTAATATGTTCCATATTCTCAGCACCAAGTCATCACACTACCTAGGGAGTTCCTCACAATAACACCTACTATTGCCATACTTTCTTTGAAATGAGTACCACCAAAATTTACCTGATAAACACCACTAGTATAAGTTTTGCAGTTCTCTCTGTGATCTTCTAATATTCCCTTAGCAAATTCAACACTATCATTAGCGGATTTTTGCCTCCCACTAAAACATGAATTGCTCCGAGCCAAGACAAAGAAGAAATCAAAGCTATGATTGCATTTAGCTTCACATACATTGCCCACAAGCAGAAATCACCTTTGTTATCAAATCCAGTCCAGTAATGTAAACCACGCAATTTCCAAATGTGCTTAGCAAGTAGACAGTGGACAGTTAGCATCATTCACCATTTTCTTGTGTTTCTGAAGTTCCCCAACTGGTGCAGTGCCAGCACCGGCCTTCCAAGCAAAAGCCTCAACTTTGTTAGGGATAATTAGGACTCCGTGTTGCCTTTCAAAAAAATTTCATGCATCCTGTGTTTGAAGTTGCTGGATACGAATTTCCAGCATTCAAGTCTGAATATTATGCAAAACGAACAGTGAACTCTGTTCTTTATGAGGTGCAAACTAATTTATTTGTCATTGGCTAGGTGAAACCAAAACATAGACAGTCGGACACGAACTGTAAAAAGAGCTCACTAATAGTCTTGCTTCCATGAACCAAAATCCTAGTCAATAAGATCAGTAAAGGAAGCATAGATATGGATACAAGATACAGATACGACACGATACGGATACAGCGATACGACAGAACCTAAAAAAATAGGATACAGATACGGTTAGGATACGTTTGTGAAAAATATATTTTTTAAAATTATTAATAGTGAGTTACACATAAGCTAAAGAATGTTGAGAAACCACAATGTAATTTTATAATGCAAAATATTATCCTTTAAGAATTTTGTATTAATTTAAGCTAATAGCTTGTTTACTTTTTAAATTTTTAATAGGTCTTGCAAATATTTCATTTCAGTATCAAGTTTACTATATTTATATTACAATAATAGAACAATTACAACTTGTCCCTATGCTTTTTCCTTTGACACTAGTGAAAAATATTGTATTCAAGTTTATTTACTTATTTATTTATTAATTTTTAATTTTACTATTATTATATTCGTTTCCGCCTCATGAAAGACAGTAACAGATATTGGAGAGTTGTGTGAAAGTGTTCAATCTCAACCTCGACGCACTCTTCCTCAACAACAACCAGTTTACCGGGGAAATACCGGACAATCTGGGAAACACCTCTGCTCTTTACCTCACCTTGGCGAACAACCAATTCACCGGTCCAATCCCAAAAAGCATCGGCCAAGCTAAAATCAATTTGCTGGAGGTGTTGCTCTTGAACAACAAACTGTCTGGTTGTCTTCCGTATGAAATCGGGTTGTTGAAGATAGCAACTGTCTTCGATGCCAGCATGAACCAGTTGACAGGTCCCATTCCGCGCTCTTTCGGGTGTTTGGAGAAGATGCAGCTGCTGAACTTGTCATTTAACAAGTTGTATGGGACGGTACCGGAAGAGCTGTGCCAGCTCGATGACCTGTCGAATCTTACTCTGAGTTTCAACTACTTCACACAGGTAGGTCCAGATTGCAGAGAGCTGATCAAGAAGAACGTGCTGGACGTTAGGATGAATTGCATTCTGGACCTACCTTTTCAGAAAAGTAAGGCTGAATGTGCCGCTTTTTTCTCAATCAAGAGGTCGTGCCCGGATGAAAAGTCTATGAATTACTTACCTTGTAATATTGAGGATTTTGCTTCGAGGAAAGCATCGTCTGATGGAGAGATACTAATGCCGCCCGTGCCTGCTCCGTCGCCTTCTTATGCTGCTCTGGAAAGGTATCGTAAGATGGATTTGCCTTAATTGTTGGTTCAGTCCCCTGTTGTTCATCCAAACTCCAACGGCCATTTTTTTTATGTAACTCAATTGGATACTAGAAGTCTGCCTTTCTGGACTTACTCAGCACAAAACCATTGACAACGTGATTACCAGCTCCATCCTTGTGCAAGGGATGGGGCCTTAACTCTGGAAACTACTCGTTGGTTGTGCCTAATATGTTAAAACTATTGAAGTTTCAACTTACATGATTTACTCGTTATTTGCACAGGGTATTATACGATTTTGACTTGGTTAGATCTGATAATTTTTAGAACTGATAAAATAAATAAATAAATAAAAAGACCAGGTAACTTTTAGTGCATAGTGACATCATGTCCTGATTCATTTTTTTTTACTGACAAATAGTTAATGGTGTTGCAGATTATGGCATGGAGTGCAGTGATTTCATGAGGTAATATGTTTCCTCAATTTTTGTAGCTGGCCAATGTCTGAATTCAATGTTCAGAGTGATTTGGAGTATCTCAATCCAGTTTGCACATGCTCTGTTATAAATTAGTTACACATGCTCTGTTATTGTCCCAAAAAATAAACATGATACTTTGAATAATCTATTGAAATGTCAATTGTCCCATAAAAAATTGACATCTAATTAAAACCCAAAATTTTGCATGTTGATGCACTATCCTCCCACAAGATTGAGGGTTCAATTCCACAGGGAGCATGTGTAACCTACCAATTGTGTTGGATGATTAAACTATTCAAAATTATTTACATTGTTCATGTTGTTCGAATCAAAGTGCTTTTGATGGAGAGTAGAAAGGCATTGGATATAGGAGAATTAAAGATTTTGCACTTTCATTATTTTTAAGTTATAATTTAATTTAGAGTTTTATTAGAGTAGTATTCTAGTTTGGGTATTTTGATTAGGGTTTCCTACGTTGGCTATATATATGGTTTTTTGTAATAGTTTTAGGTCAGTTTTGAGGTAATATATTGAGTATAGGCTGTGGCTGTTTTTGAGATAAGGGTTTTGACCCTTGTATTATTCTTCTCTCTTTCTATTCTTCTGAAAACTTTTAATCTTCTATTTTCAATCAATGCTTTGTAACTTCTGGTTTTGTGATCAATTAGATAGTTGAATAGGTTTGTTGATAGCCATTCTGCATATCAATTAGTATCAGAGCTAGGTTTTGTTCCACTGTTTCTGTTCAATGGGCTGGTTGCCTTCTTAGTATAACCACATCAATTCGAACCATCTTCACCATCATCGATTTCATCATGTTACTTTTGTGGTCGACATGGTTATCTATTATATTGCCTTGCTAGTTTGAATACAATAGAAGAAAAGAGGGTAAATTACAGATACACCCCCTGAAGTTTATTGAAAATACAAATTCTCTTAACGTTTGAGAAATTACATCCCAGTTAGATAACAAATGACCCCTCCGTTAATCAACCATTAAGTCAAACTATTAAGTCAAACTAACAAAGTCTCTGAAGTAACCAAAAAAAAAAAAAATTCTTCAAAAGTGCCTATATTAACCTTTATGAAGTTACACACTTTGTTTTCCTCTTTATTTTTACGATCTTACCTTCCTTACTCACCATTTTCTTTCGACTTATAACACCACTTTGCCTAACCATTGTACCACTCTCTCACAATCTCAATCAACACCACCATCATTATTGTCTATATGCATTTGGTGTGTTGCAAAAATAAATAAATGCAACCCTATATGCTCAGAAACAATTGATTTTTTTACGTGTCTTTCTTATTAGGTTGGTATTGTTAATTTATTATTGTTGGTGAAAACATAGAACGTATCGAATTCCGTTTTTCCTCGTAATCAAGTTTCCTACATTAAACCAAATTAAGATGTCATTAAACCACAAATGTGATGTAGGACAGCTTGGCTATTTAACTGTCTAAACAGTGAGTAATTTAGAGGTTTAATGGTTAAATTGAAGGGCTAATAAATAGGAGAAAGGATTAGAGTTGATTTGAGGGTGCTAGGATAGGGTTTTCAAGTTGAAAAGTGCACTTTTTAAGAGCTGTGAATAGTTACTCGAGAATAGTAACAAAGAGGTAGAACGAGGCACTTCATCCTCGCGATACATATTTGTAGGCTAAAGACTTCTACTTCTATAAGAACTAAAATTCAAATATTTGGTAACTATTAATATTCTAAACAAACTAGGATTCCAAATAAAAATTCAAATAATATTGCTTGACCCCCAAAATGATCGATGGACTATGACTACTCTTCATGTCCAGCAATTATTGAACTTACCATAATGCCCCTAACTAATAAAACCTACTATAATACCATTATTCTATCTAGCTGCATAATAAATTAGAATAAATACATATAAAGACTCAAAATTATTCTAAAACCTTAATCTTTGATGCCTTAAATGTGTTTCAAGTGAAATTCCAAATTTCTTCTGTCCATGCTTGCCATCATTCTCCTCTGCATTCGAAAAAATTCAACCTCGAGTTCTATAATGTTAAAAGTATAATGACCCGGGAATTTTGCACTTGCAACTATTCAAATTAATCTTTTTGAACCAACAATAAGAAAAGTAAAAAGTTCAACACTTCATCACTCCATGGACTTCATTGAATTTATTTGGAATGAAACTCATTGCGGGCAGCCTTCTTCTTGTCTTCCTTGGTTGTAGAATCATGATGATTATTACCCTCTTTCATGCTTGCTTGAGTTAAAACATCAATTTTGGTCTTTGTTTTTACAATATCTACTGTGTCGACAACATTTATCTTTGCTCTTTTGCAGTTACTTCTGGAATCACAACGTTATCATCGTTTTGCTCCTTGATATTAGCTTCTTCTAAAATGACAGCCAACAATGTTTCCATAGAAGCTTTCAATTCTTTCAAAGTTGTCTTGATAGTATGCACATTACTCTTTAACATCGCAACATCTTCCTTGGTAGCCTTATAATCTTTTGAGAAGGATTCAAATTTGGAATTGGTAGCCTCATGATCTTTATTACAACCATTGTAATAAAGAAAGCAATTTCATCAAATGATTGGTAGGAAACAAAGTAGGATCTTGAAACTCTAATATCAAATTGATGTAGGACAGCTTGCCAGATTTTCAAACCAGTGGCTATTTGACAGCCTAAATAGTGAGTAATTAAGGATTTTAATGGTTAAATTGAAGGCTAGTTGGTAAGGGAAGAGATTAGGGTTGATTTGGGGTGCTAGGATATGGTTTTCGAGCAAAAAAGTGCACTTTTTGAGAGCTGTGAATAGTAACCCAAGAATAGTGAATTGGTTGTGTGCAAGGAAGAGAGAGAAAAAGTGGAAAAAGAGAGAGAATGAGGTGCTTCACCCTCGCAAGGGTTAGGCTAATTGCATACAATTTCAAATTCTCATAATATTAACTCTTTTTTGAATAATTGAGATTAAACATATTTATAGGCTAAAGACGTAAGAACAAAAATTCAAATTTAGAATTCCAAATAAAATTGTTGTAATATTACTTGACCCACAAAACGATCCATGGACTATTGACTAGTACTCATGTCCAACAATTATTGAACTTACCATAGTACCCCTAACTACTAAAATGTATTATAATAACATAAATTTGCCTTGCGTAATAAATTAGAATATATACAAATAAAGACTTAAACATTAGTCCAAAATTTTAATCCTTAATGCCCTAAATGTGCTTCATGTGAAATTCCAAATTGTTTCTTTCTATGTTGTGAAGGAAGAAAGAAGGGGGTCTACCATTGAGTCTTGCTAATGGTGTGATGATACATAATGAGTTTTTATAAAACAAAGAAAATATATCAGCTCTTTCCCGTACATCCCCCACATACAACACAAACCCACCTTACCAGTTTGCTCCTTCCTGTACTTCCATCCCAACTCGGGACTCATCCATCCTCTTTGATGTTGTATCTCTGTCCTCACAATCGGAAATTCCTCACTGCAAAAAGTCACACCAACACCAAACCCGCCCGTACATAACCTCACACACAAACCCACCCATACCATCACACATAGGCCTTGTTTGGGAAGTTAGCTATTTTAGTAGGTTATTTTAGTAGGTTAAAATTTTTGTATTTAGGAAGATGGTTAGATTTTTTTTTGTAGTTTGATGTGATGTTTATGAGAGAAAAACTGAAAGGATTATAGGTTTGGTGTTATTGACTATTTTAACTGATTGTCTTTTTATGAATTTTACGCTAAAAAGTCAAATTTTAACCTTTGCCAAACAAGGCCATAACTAGTTCATGGTTGAAACAGGAAATTTGGACATTGACAACATGCAAATTACGAGTTTTTACACAAAACTCTCACTGGCTAATAGCAGAGGAAGGGATTTGTTACTTGTTTTGTCATGTGTCTTTTATTTTCAGCTTTTATTGAAGATGAATTTTATGGGTCTTCCTTCCAGCGTCTGAGCCCCTTTGCTGGCCTCAATCAATGCATCTGGTTGCACATGATGAGCACTGTGACTCCACAGTAACAAGTCGAAACCAATGACAGTCTCTCCCCCTCAACTTACCTGACTGCGCAGCCCCTTTATTCTTTAACCTCTCTCCCCGCCTCCCTCAATTCCGAACCCCTCTTCACAAAAATAAAATCAAGAACTTCTACTGGGTTATAGAGGACCAAAAACAGAAATTAAATTAATCTAAAATAAGACATTATCCACTTTGTATAAAATCTATGAAATCTGTTAGTAATACACAAGTCACTTGTTGCAGAAATTAAATTCTAAAAACCATCTAGATAAGGATTTGGGATGGGTGGAGAACGGCAATTAGTAAGGGTGGAGGGGTAGAGGCTGAGACTTGCTTTGGGCAGTGGGAGGGATGACGTCGGCAGTCATGACGGGCATGCACCAGGCGATAGAAACAAGGGGAGAGGTTGTGCGCGACTGGACAGGAAGAAATGGATGAAGATGGGTGGGAGGTAGAATCAGGTGTGTGAGAAACCTTTTTTTTTTTTTTTGGATGAAGATGGGTGGGAGGTAGAATCAGGTGTGTGAGAAACTTTTTTTTTTTTTTGGGTGAGATCTGTAACTTTGGTGTGGTGTCACTCATGGATAGGTTGTCCGTAAACTTGATCTTCACCGGTAAGCCGTGAATAAGTCATTCTCTTTTTCTTATCTCATTTTCCTTTCTAGTTTCTTTTTCTTACAATTGATTGGATGATTACATATTCATAATACTTGGAACTCATATTATTAATTATTGAAGCTTGGCGTTGGCATTAAGCCTTTGCATGTTCAATCAGTTAATTTGAGTGACACCTATTATGTTTTAGATAAGATGGCTATTATGTGGGCAACCATTGGTTCAATGGTAAAATCTTGACCTAATAATCTTGAGATTATAGGTTCAAGTCTCAAGGCAATCACTTTGTGCACTATGTCAAAGGTTAGGTGTGTATTCAATTTTTTCTTTTCCAAATATACATTAATGTGTACTATTTGGGTGTTGTTTTAATATGGCTATTATGTCTTGCACTGTTGATATACTTGTTAAACCTGTAGGAGGGACATCAGTATAATGGTGTGTCTGCTTTTCATAGTTTTTGTTTTTTTGGGGGATAATGGGTCACATGCTTTGTCACATGCGTATACTGAACTACAATTAATAGCAACATCTTGATTGCAAAAGACCATTGGAAATATGTTTGATGTGCAGGCTCCCTGATTTGAGTAAATTATTAATCTGTTTGATAAACTTATTTAAAACAAATTTAACTTCATGATTCTCTGTCTTTGTCTGTGTCTCTATGTATCAGACATTTCTTTCCAACCAGCTGAGGCTTCTTTTTTTATGTTTATAGGCAAACTTATACTTTTCTAATTTCTGTGCTCTATAAAATTGTTCTTGTTGTGATTGGTAACAAGTATTTACATATAGAACTTCAAGTGCTCTTGAGGATAACTCTTATGGATAAGAGTTGGATTCATATAAGAAATAGTCTAGACCTTTTATATATGCAAGGGGTTGAAAATTTTGATATATTGCCTGCGTAAGAAAACTTAGATATGGGATATGAAATGGTGTAAGAGAGCATATAATCATAAACGGGTTTATCACTAACAAGGTGAGACATAAAGACAGTATGTGTGATTGCTTTCGAATGAATTTTCCCCCTTTATTATTTTTTTCTTACTTCCCAAACTGACTAAATCAAACCGTACTGAACCGGCCCTATGCATATCTGTTTGGTTTGGTTGTTTAATTGTTGCGGTCTGTCTTCAGTGTTAATTGTCATAAAACCAAATGTGTAGTTTGATGGGAAATTTTTCCCATATCCAAACCGATTACACTCCTAGTCGTAGGATTGCATTGTTGCTTCATTATCTTATATTTTCTTGTAGGTTTAGAGAGTTGTAATCAATTTTTGGTCATCACAAAGTTTTACTGATTTGCCATGCCTAGTAGATGAATCTATCCATAACGTATGATTAGCTTTTCTCGGGAATGGCTTGGAACTTTGATGTGGACATGTAAGAATAATCCTGCACCCTCATTGACAAGTACTTGACTTTTGCTGATGTTTGAATTCTTAAACGCAGGGTGGTGTTGAAGATGGAGACTAGGAAGGACTCAAGCACTGGTTGGAAATTACTAGGAGGCATACATTCATTATTTCTCTGTTTTTCAGTATGAATACTGGATATTTAGTGGTTTGTGGGATTGTTTGTTTCTTTATTTGAGTGTGGAGATTAATATTTTGTTTCTTTGCTAAGATAATATATTATTTTAATATTTTAGTCAGAACCTCAAGGAGTTGATCTGGTGGTCGAGATTTGGGGCCTGGGGTTGTAATCGTCAAGGTCTCAGGTTCGAAATTTCCTAGCTCCAACCAATTTCTTGGGGCCAGTCCAATAGATTGGATATCAAGTTATCAAAAAAAAAAAAAAAAAAATTAAGGGATTGATACCGAGTTAGATATCGAGTTATCAAATATATATATTGACAGTAGTCAGTAATTACCATTTGAACTTTATTATTTTATAATCATTTTTTTGTTATTCCTTTCTATTAAGGATTATGTATGCAGGCATGTTAAATAAATTAGATCCTTTTTATTATCGCATCTCATGTGCGTTTTGATCTTCACTCATTATTTTGATAAACAGAAGATGAGTTGAATATTATTTGAGTCACAGGTGTAGAATATGTGCTCAATTCAGCAATAAAAAATAAAATTTCTAAGGTAATTATGCAGAAGACTTTTTCCAGTCATAACAAAAAAAATGATTTTATTTTTTAAACAAATATCAAGCATCAAACATAGTAGCAACCTATTAACTAGGGGAAATTGCAATATATATGTATATCTGGTAAGACCCCAAAAAAATATTGCAAAAATATGGAAGCATAAAAAAGAAGTGCAACTTAAAGACATGAAACCATCTAAAATGGAAAAACAAGGAATCAGACCCTTTGAATTATCAAATTATCCCTCCTCTTTCCTTCTTCCCCTACAACTCTGATCACCGGCCATGTTGGAAATTGAGGGGATAAAATATAATTTATTTAAATCATAATTTCGAAATATTAAATAGATGAGAATTTATTACAATTATAAAAGATATAAAAAGATACACATAAAATTTATAGACATGTGCATGTATTTACTGTTCTTAAGAGTAAATTCTCACCCTTTTGAGTACTTGATGTAGGAAGTTAATAGGATGCAACTATCATTTTCCTTACAAGAGTGCACACGTAATATAAAGGTGTCAGTAACAATTCATTTGATTGTCCCAAATACCAAATCAATATAGTATAAACTCGTATTTTATGAGAAAATAAAACTGCTTTCACAAGCTTCAAATTGTGTTTTCTGAGCAATGGTATTCCTTCCCACAAAACACACACATATATATAGACTAGTTGCGAGGGGTCGTGTTTCGCACGATGGCCCATGCCCATGGTTCAAATAATCTCAAATTCTTTGATTTGAAATTTACATCCATCCAAAACAGATACTTAATTTTTGATCAGTAATTGTTAATGTTACCCTGCTGCATGCTACTTGTAGCTTGCTGTTTTGCACGTTCAACAACTGCCAACTGCTGTGAACGCTATGGATGAAAACATCTCATATTTGAAAACATTGGGCTAGCTCACTACTGGAACTTAAGGGTCCTAAAGAACAAATAGAACGAAAATATATAAGCAAACAATAAAAAAATCCATGGTGCCTATTTTGCAAAACTTGAAGGAGGTTATAAAATTTGAATTTTTCTAATTGTAACCCTATGCAAGTATATATCAAGTCAGATTTAGAAAAAATAAATGGACCTCTTCATAGTCGGTGGATCATTAACATCACACAAACAAGCAAAACATGTGTATGTGTGCACACACAACCAAAACCCAATATGAAAGAGCTTAAGAGTTATCTATTGTGTCAAGAAAAGTAAATTAAAAACCTAAAGAGTGGAAAACATGTGAAAAGCAGTCTTGTCTAGGTTCTTCACTCAAATACTCTCCTCTTTTAGTAAAATGAAAATAAAAAGCTCTAGAGTCTTTTTCCTTGTCATTGATGGTTCTTCAAACTATTGTAATTCAACTCCACCCTCAAAAGGGAGAAGACACAAAATCACTCCTCAAATAAAATGAAAGCAGATAGGACTGAAAATCAAATAGACAGACAAAGTATACAGCTTCCCCAGATAATACCTTCTAAGAATGCTATATGGCAGTAGCGATGATGCTTAACAGGATCAAGAAAGTGTATTTAAAATGCTCACTGCAGTTTTGTAGTTGGGGAATGTCTCCTTTACAGTGATTGATAATGAAAACCATGTTGAACCTGTGGCAGATGAAGGTAACAATCTACTAAAAAACCTGTCTATAATTTTTGTTGATAGTAGTGTTGCTACTCATATTATTTTTTCAGACAGGTTTTCAAATTGATAAGCCATTATCAACAAAAAAATTATTATTTATTGACATAGCAAAAATCTTGGCCAATAGACCAACCCATTTGCCTTCAAGTTGAAGATCTAGAAAAACATACCTCAGTATTATATATGTAAACAGAGCAGTGAAAAAGAGTTTTGTCTGGTTCAGCATTGAGAATGTGAGGGAATCAAGATTTTTGTATGAAATCTACAGCAGACTGTTTTGCAGCGCATAAATAGCTGCTGGCAATCCTGATGTAATCAATGAACCAACTAAAGTCCACTTCTTGAATAGTCTCCTCAAACCACCATCTCTTACAATGAGTGTAAGAGCAAAAATAACCTGTAAGCACATGAAAAATATATTTCCTTCAATGTACATCAGATCAAAAACAAAGATGGAGTGCAAAACAAAAGATGAAGGAGAAAACCTTTATTATCTCACATGCCAAAACAGATGAAGTCACAATAACTTCTTGTCTGCAAGAATCATAGTTAGTTGAAAACTGGAAAATTACAGTACTATATATTGGTTAAAAATTGAACCAGCATTTATCATTGCACATGGTAATAATTAACAAGAAAAGTAGAAATGCTCCTGTGGTGTAAATACTGAAAAACTTAACACCAGTTTTTCTTCTCTTTTCCTTCTTTTTTTTTTATCTCTTTTCCTGCTGGGAAATTGGTTTCTAGAGTGTGAAGGAATTTAAAGAATCACTATTAATAGTCATTTTGTGTAAAATAATTGGTACTCTACTAAAAAACCTGTCTATAATTTTTTTTGTTGATAATGGCTTATTATTTATTTTGCTTGTAGGTGGTTTATTGGCTGTAGGTAGCAACACTCCTATTTATTGCAGTTTGGACATACCAATCCATACTAGCCCTCCTTGAGCCTGTTGCTCGAGTATGAACCCATGCACCTCAGTTCAAGGGTTCAAATGCTAGTGACGGATTGCTAAAATTGGACATGGCAATCCTTGTTGCAGTGAAGAGGTTTTGAAACCCCTTTAGAAAATATTGCATTGCTGATGGTACTTCATGAATGCCATCAACTGTTCTTATAATCAAATCAAAAATTTAGAAAACAAGCTCATAGGATTTTGGAAGAGGGAGAGGAACTATTAATAGGTTAGATTGATTGTTGATATTTGCTGATATCTACTTGTTTCTCTCACGTCAATCCATTGTCTTGATGATAGCATGGGTGGATTAATAAGTTCTTTCCATACTTTCCATAGCATGGGTGGATTAATAAATTCTTCCCATTCTGAACCAATATAAATTTGGTTAATTTTATATGATAAATCAATAAATGGTGGGTTAAAGATCAGTTTTATAGGAGAATGGCTTTAAGCCAAACCTTGATTACTATTGTGGGTTAAAGATCTGGGCATTGATATTGTTTGAATTTTATGCATATTTTCTGAAAATGAAAAATGAAAGCTCAATTTTCCATCTTTCCGCTATCTATGCTCCCTTGAATCTCAGGAATGTCTTGACAACGTGCTAGTTGAACTCTACAAGGTACGCACATTTCTTCAAATTTGACCTTCTCTATCACCATAGATATAGCTGTTGATCTGATGTGAATTTTGTTGGTAACAATTAGGAGAATTTGGAAATGCAACTTTTGTGTATGGATGACTCGTGTGATTTTCATAGCATTTGGAAATGCAACTTTCGTCGTGATGAATTGTTAGAATTTCCCAACTTTACCTTCACCTACTCCACTTCACCTACCTCCACTTCACCACACACTCCACTTCACCTAACCCACTATCACCTCCACTACACCTACTACCACATTTTCTTCTATATATAGATTGTATAGGAATTGTAATACAACAATCTTGTAACACATCAATCAATCAATAACACATCAAAGTTTTAACATGAATTTTTTTTTTCTTTTCTCACCCATTCATTTTTTCTTTTTTATACTGAGTTCAGGCAGATGGAAGAATATCCAAGGCAACTTCCTTGAGGGATGTTCCTATTTGTCCCAGGCCAAATATGCATCCGATCTTCTGGCTCGTGCTGGTCTGACTGATTGCAAAACTACCACTACTCCAGTTGATCCTCAGCTTCGTCTCACTCCTCTTGATGGGACTCTTCTCTCTGATGCTACTCTTTATCGCCAACTCGTCGGCAGCCTTGTCTATCTCACAGTAACTCGTCCTGACATTGCCTATGCTGTTCACATTGTCAGTCAGTACATGTCGACTCCTCGCACTCCCCACTATACTGCTCTACTCCGCATCCTTCGTTACCTCAAAGGCACTCTGTTCCATGGCCTTCACTTCTCTACTTCCTCATCTCTTGAACTGCGTGCCTTTTCCGATGTTGATTGGGCTGGGGATCCTACGGATCGATGCTCTACCACGGGATTCTGCTTCTTCTTAGGGGATTCTCTTCTTGCTTGGCGTAGCAAAAAACAATCCCTCACTGCCCGCTCTAGCACCGAAGCTGAATACCGAGCTCTTGCTGATACTACTCAGGAACTTCTCTGGCTTCGCTGGCTCCTTGCTGATATGGGTGTTTCTTCTTATGGTCCTACCTCTCTCTATTGTGACAATCAGAGTGCCATTCAGATTGCTCACAATGATGTTTTTCATGATCGCACCAAACATATTGAGATTGATTGTCATTTCATTCGCCAGCATGTTACCTGTGGTACTGTTCATCTTCTCCCTATTGCTTCAGTTGATCAACCTGCTGATATCTTCACTAAGGCTCATCTTCCTGGCCGCTTCAATGATCTTGTTTCCAAACTCAACTTGGTTGATGCTTTCCCTCCTTGAGTTTGCGGGGGGATGTTAGTGTATGATTGTAAATAGCTTTAGCATGTTAGTGTATGATTGTAAA